GGAGTTTCGCTCTTGTTACCCAGGCTGGAGTGCAATGGCGCGATCTCCGCTCACCGCAACCTCCGCCTCCTGGGTTCAGGCAATTCTCCTGCCCCAGCCTCCTGAGTCGCTGGGATTACATGCACGCGCCACCATGCCCAGCTAATTTTTTGTAGTTTTAGTAGAGACGGGGTTTCACCATGTTGACCAGGATGGTCTCGATCTCTTGACCTCGTGATCCACCCGCCTCGGCCTCCCACAGTGCTGGGATTACAGGCTTGAGCCACCGCGCCTGGCCTCTCTCATCCATTTTTAACAAAATGTTAAGGGAGCCATTTATATTTGCCTAGAAGGATGCGAAAAATTTAATAAATTCTGATCAAGAGAGTGTTCAGTTTCTCAGAGCAAAGACAGAATATTGTTCAGTACTTTCGTAACGGTGAATCTATAGAACTTACCTTCTGTCTTCAGCCAGCAGCCTGGGTAGTAGGCCGCTTGACTCATAAGAAGTTTATTTTTGCTGCATCTGTATTTCTCTTCCTCTTCATGATGTTTTCAATCTTCTGTAAATAAATTCAGAAGAGCAGGTCACATTGAGCAAATCACACTTCACACAGACCAAATCAGTGTCCAGTCATAGCACGAGGACATAAAATATTCACAGTGTAAGAATGTGATATTCTGACTGGAATGTTCTATCGGGCCCTAGATTAAGTCACCTCAGAAGTAGATGAGCCTGCTTTTCAGGCCCATGGGACAAAATCTCTCTCATCTTGTAGACATTAATCATCTGTCATAAGTCACTGACTTTCATAAGTCAGTGAAAACAATTAAAAGCTTTTCCCCCAAAATCTTCAAAAATTGCCCTAACTACTTTCCAGAAGAGTTGCTGCAATACTAATTATCTCATCATATATCATGGTCAATCAATGTTTAGAGAAATTTATATAGGATACTGGACAGACGGATGCATTCTAACAACCTTTACTTTAAAAAGAATCTGTGGAGCCAGCATGGTGGCTCACACCTGGAATCCAAGCAACATAGGAGGCCCAGGCACGCAGATCACCTGACCTCAGGAGCTCAAGACCAGCCTGGCCAACATGGTGAAACCTTGACTCTACATAAAGTACAAAAATTAGCCAGGTGTGGTGGTGTCCACCAGGGATCCCAGATAATTGGCAGGCTGAGGCACCAGTACCAGGGTACTCCCAGCTCTTGATGGTGCCACTTACAGATACCACAGGTTCTATTAGGAACAGGGTCCCCTTTAAGCTACTCACAGGGGGTAATGTCTGCTATCACTGTGTTTCCCCCAGGGTCCCCAGAACACAGCTTTGCCTACTGGGTCTTTAGCAGAAAGCAGAACTGCATGGAAGTTCAGTAGCCTCAGACCTTTAGACCAGCAGACTAGATGCTGCTTGTCTGTAGGACCTTATATGGTACAGAGAGGATTCCTGTAAACATGGATTCAGCCTCTTGCTGAGAAAAACAGGTGGTTCTGTGCCTGGGTCAGGAATCAATAGCTGGGATTTTAACCCCAGCCCCGCACCCACCTTAGTGCAGATGTGGAAATGTTGCTAAATATTTTGGCATCTGTCTTCCATTTTAACTAAATGTTAAAATACCCACTGCTATTTTCTACAAGTATGGGAAGGATGAAATTAATTTTGATGAAGAGAGCGCTTAGTTTTTCGAGACAAGACAGGGCATCATTCATCACTTTCATGGTGGTCAACCTGTAGGACTTACTGTATGTCTTCAGCCGATAGTTCAGGGAGTAGTCCACTGGACTCATAAGAAGTCTATTTTTGCTGACTCCAATATTCAGTTTGTTATCTTCCTGTTCGAAGCAGGATTTCTCAATGCCTTCTGGAATGTTCAACTCTGTGTTTTTTCTGGAAAGAGGCCTGTCAGATGCCACCTTGCTGATGTTTGGGGCAGAACACAGAAAGCCAGGGACTGGTGAGAAGAAACCCAAACACACAATGGATTAGAAACTGGCGACATCAAATTGGTTCAATTGGGACTGAAGGATGTCACTGACAGCCTTGCCTGTTGATTTGAAGATGTTGTTTCCCCGCTTTTACTCTTCTCATCTCCACTCTTGATCTCCTTAAAGTCAACTTGTCTTAGCTACTCAGTCACCTTGAAGCCAGGACATAAACCCTCCTATCATTATCTTGTTTATGAGTTCTGCAGGATCTTATACGGTACAGAGAAGATTCCTGTAAACATGATTTAGCCTCTTGCTGAGAAGAACTGGTGGTTCTGTGTCTGTGTTAGGAATCAATAGCCGGGATTTTAACCCTAGTCCCACACCCGCCTTACTGTAGACATGGAAAAGTTGCTAAATAATTTGGCCTCTGTATTCCATCTTTAACGAAATGTTAAAAAACCCACTGCTATTTTCCTAGAAGTATGGGAAGAATGAAACTAAGTTTGAAAAAGAGAGTATATCATTTCTCAGAAAGAAGACAGGACATTGTTCAGCACTTTCGTGAGAGTGAACCTATAGAACTTACCTTCCGTCTTCAGCCGGCAGCCCAGGTAGTAGGCCACTTGACTCATAAGAAGTTTATTTTTGCTGTCTCTGCATTTCTGTTCTTCATCGTGATCTTTTTGATCATCTGTAAACAAATTGAGAAGATCAGGTCACATTAAGCAAATCACACTTCACACAAGACCAAATCAGTGTGCAGTCATAGCACAAGGACATAAAATATTCTCAGTGTAAGAATGTGATATTCTGATGGGAATGTTCTAACAGGCCCTAGATTAAGTTGCCTCAGAAGTAGATGAGCCTACTTTTCAGATCCATGGGAGAAAATCTCCATCATCTGGTAGATCTTCATCATATATCCTCTGACCTAGTCAGGGCATATAATTAAAACTTTTTCCCAAAAATCTTCAAAAATTGCCCTAACTACTTACCAGAACAATTACTGCAATACCAATTTATCTCATCATATATCATGGTCAATGAATGGTTAGAGAAATTTACATAGGAGACTGCACCAAGGGATGAATTATAATAACCTTTACTGAAAAAAGAATCTGTGGAGCCAGCCCGGTGTCTCATGCCTGCAATTCCAGCATTTTAGGAGGCCCAGAAGGGCAGATCACTTGACCTCAAGAGTTGAAGACCAGCCTTGCCAACTTGGTGAAACCCTGCCTTTACTAAACATACAAAGATTAGTCAGGGGCTTTGGTGCCCACCAGGGATCCCAGCTAAAGGGGGGGGCTGAGGCACCAGTAGCAGGGTACTCCTTGCTCTTGATGGTGCCACTTACAGATACCACAGGTTCTATTAGGAGCAGGGTCCTCCTCGAGATCCTCAGAGGAGGTACTGTGTGCTATCACTGTGTTTCCCCCGGTGTCTGCAGAACACTGCTTTGCCTACTCGGCCTCAGCAGAAACCGGAATCAAATGGAAGTTCAGTAGCCTCAGACATTTAGACCAACAGACTGGATGCTACTTGTCTGTAGGATCTTATACGGTACAGAGAGGATTCCTGTAAACATGATTTAGCCTTTTGCTGAGAAAAACAGGTGGTTCTCTGCCTGTGTCAGAAATCGATAGCAGGGATTGTAACCCCAGTCCCACACCCACATTACTAAAGACATGGAAAAGTTGCTAGATAGTTTTGCCTCTGTCTTCCATCTTTAACTAAATGTTAAAATAACCATTTCTATTTTCTACAAGTATGGGAAGGATGAAATTAATTTTGATGAAGAAAGAGGTTAGTTTCTCAAAACAAGACAGGACATTATTCATCAATTTCATGGTGGTCAACCTATAGAACTTACTGTATGTTTTCAGCCGGTAGTTCAGGAAGTAGGCCACCTGACTCATAAGAAGTCTATTTGTGCTGGCTCTGAAAGTTGGTTTGTTTTCTTCCTGTCGGCAGCAGGATTTCTCAACGCCTTCTGGAACGTTCACCTCTGTGTTTGTTCTGGAAGGAGGCCTGTCAGATGCCACCATGCTGACATTTGGGGCAGAACACAAAAAGCCAGGGACTGGGGAGAAGAAACCCAAACACATGATGTGTTAGTAAATGTTGACGTCAAATTGGTTTAATTGGGACTGAGGGATGTCACTGACAGCCTTGCTCGTTGATTTGAAGGTATCATTTCTCCATTTTTACTCTTCTCATCTACAATCTCAATCTCCTTAAAGTCAACTTGTCTTAGCTACTCAGTCACCTTGAAACTCGGAAATAAACACTTCTACCTTTATCTTGCTTATATGTTTTGCAGGATCTTATATGGCACAGAGAGGATTCCTGTAAACATGATTTGGCCTTTTGCTGAGAAGAACAGGTGGTTCTGTGCCTGTGTCAGGAATCAATAGCAGGGATATTAACACTAGTCCCACACCCACCTTACTGCAGACTTTTAAAGTTGCTAAATATTTGGCCTCTGTCTTCCATGTTTAACAAAAGGCTAAAATACCCATTGCTATATTCCTAGAAGTATGGGAAGGATGAAATTACGTTTGAAGAAGAGAGTGTATCATTTCTCAGAAAGAAGACAGGATATTGTTCAGCACTTTCGTGACAGTGAACCTATAGAACTTACTTTCTGTCTTCAGCTGGCAGCCCAGGTAGTAGGCCACTTCACTCATAAGAAGTTTTTGTTGTCTCTGCATTTCTGTTCTTCATTCTGATCTTTTCGATCTCCTGTAAACAAATTCAGAAGAGCAGGTCACATTAAGCAAATCACACTTCACACAGACCAAATCAGTGTCCACTCATAGCACAAGGACTTAAAATATTCTTGGTGTAAGAATGTGGTATTCTGACAGCATTGTTCTAACGGGCCCTAGACTAAATTGCCCTAGAAGTATATGAGCCTGCTTTTCAGATCCATGGAACAAAATCTCCCTCCTCTGGTAGATCTTAATCATATCCTCTGACCTAAGTCAGTACAAAAAATTTAAACGTTTTCCCCAAAATCTTCCAAAAATTGCCCTAACTACTTTCCAGAAGCATTGCTGTAATATTGATTTATCTCATCATATGTCATGGTGAATGAATAGTTAGAGAAATTTATATAGGAGACTGGATCAAGGGATGAATTCTAAGAACTTTTACTGAAAAAAGAAACTGTGGAGCCGACATGGTGGTTCACGTCTGGAATCTCAGCACTTTAGGAGGCACAGGAGGGCAGATCCCTTGACCTCAGGAGTTCAAGACCAGCCTGGCCAACACGGTGAAACCACGCCTCTACTGAAAATACAAAAGTTAGTCAAATGTGGGGGTGCCCACCAGGGATCCCAGCTGATTGGCAGGCTGAGGCAATAGTACCACAGTACTCCCTGC